TTCATTTAAAGTTCATTATGAATACATTGATCATTCTTTAGTACATGTAATGAATTCATTTACTGTCCCTAAGGAATTCATTTAAAAAAATTTTGGTACATACTTTTTATCAATTTGCTATACAGTTACAACAGAAAAAATAATTTTTACATCATACTTATTTTCTAATATTTTTTCAACATGTAACAAATGTTAGAATCTCTATGTTAAGAATATAATTATATTATATGACTACGAATAATAGTATAACTTTAAACAAATCATAAATTTATAAAATAGCACTAATCGTTTTACTTATCAAATATGTTGTAAACATAAATCACATAAATTAGTTACAGCATTGACGGATATTTAAACTACAAACTACTCATCAATAAGCAAATAATCACTACTTTCTTATAATGTAGAGTATACAAACTTCTGATAAGCGGTTGTTTGTTCGCTTGTACCTAATTCAGTGTGAGATCTAGCAAATCATTACATACAAAAAAAATTTTTCTAAATGATTATGAAACACATGTTAGTAACAACGCAATCTCTTAAATCAATAAACCCAGTAATAATTTTTAGGATGCTTAGGTACGTCTCAAGAAAATATGATGGTCTAGGCTCTGACAATAATGACTACAAAAAAGTTGCATCGTATTTTACATACTGATATTAATTACTCTTAGCATCGACTGACTATTTAAAATAGACTAGCTCTGATCTTTTGTATTTAAACAAGCAGTGAATNCTATAAATAATCAGATATCAACAGTTGGTAACACCCAACATCGCGCATTTTAGTAAAAAATTGTTTCTGAAAATAGGAAAAATGTCTTGCATACACAGATATAATACGCTTATGCTAGCGTTTTTTTTTTAAATCCTAAAAGCGAATCCTTCACATTTTTTTTTATAAACATTTTTTGATGTTATTCAGCTCCTTCTCTGGTGACGTCTTTATCTCCTCAATATGCATAGCTTCGTCCTTTTATGGGTCTCTTAAATTTTAGGAATAGGAAAAAGTCACGCAGGTCTGGGGAATACGGTGACTGAGGCGACATTAGGTACTGTATTGTTTTTGACCGAGAATTCTCATAAAAGCAAGGATGTGTGGCAGGAGCGTTATCAAGGTGCAAAAGCCAATTTTTTTTTTTCACAATCCGGGTGTTTTTGGCATATTACTCCGTTCAAATGACGCATAAATTGTAAGTAATATTCCTTATTGACCGCATCACTCTGTGGCAAACTCATGATGCGCTATACGCCCCTGCAATCGAAGAGAACTGTGATCAAAACCTCTATGTACTTACATTCGACCAAACGTGGCACACACTTTTTTCGGTCTTTGCTCGATGATGCGGACTTAGCTTTATCCGGAATGATTGAGCTTTGGCTATTGTACAATTAAATTAATAGTATGTAATATTTAATATTATTCAATATTTTTATCATGATTTTAGCATCGCTAATACTTAAATAAATAACGTACACTTAAAAGTTCAATTTGATTAAAGCATTCTTAAATACGCCGCAAAACTGTATATTGCACCAGTAGTTTTGCAAAAATAAAAAAAGGAAGTGAATACAATACTGCTTATTAAATTTGTCTGTTTAAAAAAGTTTTTAAAATTTTAGAATTATATTTTAAATGTTTTTTTTAACGAAAAATTTTTATACGAAAGACATTTTATTAAAAAATGAAAAAATCTTAGCAACACAAGTTGATTTCAACCTATAAACCTAATCTCAAATGATTTTACTCATGAAAAAAAGCAATAAATTTTACAACTTTACATATAAAAAAGTAGTGATAATATTGTAAAAGATGGAAAAATGTAGAGGAGAATGTGAACTCAGAACTTTTATGAAATTAAACTTTTATTCTTTTTCAAAGTATATACACAACTTACCTATTTACTATATTTTTACCATTATAAATATTACATAGTACAGACATAACGGAAATTTAATAACTTAGATGTTAAGGTTGCAGATACACAATTGTATATAGAATCAAAACAAAAAGTTATATTTTTTTTCAACAAGTGTGCCAAAGATTACAAATTTAATCTCATTGTAAAATGGTTTTTAAAGGTTTACATCAGTCACCAACTTTATTTACACATTTTCATAGAAAAAGTAAAGAAAATTACAGCACATGAGAGACGATCTTAATATTTGGGATATATTTATGCAAAACTTGAAAATGCAAAGGTTAAACTATAAGAACGATTTTCTATAGGATGATTTGTAGTTTTTTATATTAATTATATCCAGAAGTCGATATTTCATAAAGTATTTTATCCATACAAAAAATCAGTCTGGTGCAAACTTACAGATATTAAATTTTGTATTTATATTCAGTAACTTCAGCTTTATAACATCTTCATCAAATTCATAATCAAAAACTCAGTATGTGCTAATTTCATTGAAAACAAATGTGATCCAAATTCTTACAAGATATTGTGGTCACATTGATTGATTTTTTGTGTACAGCAAAGAATAGCATGTATTTACTCTTGTTACATTTAGACATACTGTATCGAATAAAATTTGGATTTTCATAAATATTGAGAATGGAAAAAAATAATAATTGCAGCTTCAATGATTTTCTAACAAATTTTCTAGCAAAATTTTTTTGAACATCTAATTAATTATTCAAGCATCAAATAACATACTGAATTATTGATTTCCAACACATTATATTAAAAAACTGATTGTGAAACGTGAATATAAACTGATAAAAATTGAGTTAAATATGCAGACGTATACATGCACCAAAGGATAACGGTCTTTGACACATTGAACACTTTTTAGTTGACTTAGTTATTTTCTTAAGGCACTCGAAGCAAAACAAATGACCACATGGTGTAGTCATTGGTTTTAAATCTTGATTAGTAATAAAATTTTCTAGACAGATAGGACAAGACAAACTCTTTTCCTTTTGCGACTGATTTCCTACTGTTTTGGCAGAATCATCTAATGTAACTGTTTCATCAAGATCAATAACTATGGCAGGTCTTCTGCAAAAAAATCATTGCACAAATTATTTTTGCAATATAAAAATATTTTGCAGCAAATATCACTTACTTTGGTTTTTGAAGTCTCGAAGAATTGTTCAAATCTTCTAAAACTGCAACTTCATCTGAATTACTATACTCAACGATTACTTCATTGTTTGATGGATTGGATCTTTTTCGTCTCAAAGCTAGATTATTAGGCGAGTCTTCAGTCAAATCGATAAAATCACAAGGTTCTAAGTTCCTTTGAACATCGGATTGTGGAGCACTAACAATCCTAGCAAATTGCTCTGGAATACTGAGGTTGAGTGGCTCTGGAATTCGAGTAGGCTCCAGAGTCCTGGTGACAGTTTTTCTACTGTTTCTTGTGGTTCTTTGAGGCATGTTACTTGGTGCCACTGTAAATGAGAGGAAATAGGTATTCAGAATTCACACAATTAAGTGTTTGTACATGAAAACTGATTTGACAAATGATGATTTTTTAGTGCAAATAAGAAAACTAACCTGAACTACTCAAAGCAGGGCCCATCGCTTTTTTAAAGCTTTAAAATTTATTAAGGTTTTATGCCCGAAAAAAGGATGTCACTGGAGGACAATAGACAAAAATTGTGCGCAGTAAACGCGCTGTATCTCGATGACAACTTTCGTAAATTATATAGAACTGCAAAAAGTACCTTCCCCTTGGTTAGATACTTAAATGGCTGTTAAAATAAAAAAATCTTATTTAAAAAAAAAAAAAAAAAAAAAAGCTATCAACTTAAGGACACTATAATGTGAAATAAACTCTTCCACAACAACTGAGAGACAAGACTTTTATTCATGAGAAGGGATCGGTTTGAAAGAGTAAGACAGCAGTCCTTTCAAATAACAAAAAAAACCAATAAGCTAATTTTTAAAAACAAATCGGTATGTGCGAAATGTAGTTACAAATTACTGTATACAGATGAGCACGACTAACCTGAACCAGCAGTAACAAGATGAAAGAATTGGCTCTCGTTTTAGTCCTGTTCTATCTTTTTTTCATATGTACAAATGTAAAACTGATCAGTCAACCGCTTCTTGCAGCTACACGATTGAACTGGTTCAAGATTCGAGATTAATTTTTACTGCCAGAAATAAGATATGAGAACTTAGTTACAATAGTTTTGAATAATCTAAATTGTTTATCGGTTTGTCAACTACATAGCAACTCGCGAGTCGGTTTTGGTGTAAACGTTGATAAGCTATAGTGACTTGTAATCATAAGCTCACTACTTTCAGCTGTAACCAACAAACAACAACTTACTGGGTCGGCGACATTGTGCCTAAAACTAGGATAGTGATTTTTTGCCGTCAAGTTGGCTGGAGCAGTCACCGAGAATGAATGGACATAGATGAATAGCGTACACGTAAAATAAGTCGGTACGTTATTAACAGCCGAGAGATCGCGCTACTGATGCGAATCTCTGGTGAAATCTGTGAGACACGCAGTGTGTTGCGTACGCGGATTCTCCTAGTAAAAATTCATCCCCACATACGCAGAGCCTACGTCTCTGCGTACGCAGTGGGTTGCGTACGCGGAAGATCCCAAGAGTGCATTGATCTCTGCGTACGCGGTTTATAGAAACAGTGAAATTTCCGTTTCTTTGCGTATCACGGAGAGAAAAGTCATGCGTGTTTTTCATGGTACATGTGCAAATGGTCCGCGGTAAGAGGGCATTAGCGTTGCATGCATCAAGCCTACGCTCCAACAGCCTGGGGTTAAAGCTCGGTCCACATGAAATGTAAGCCCCCAGAGCGCATGCGCAGTTGATAAACATGATAGAGATGAGGTTAGCTTTTAGACCAGTATTATGTATTAATTGTTAATAAAAAAACCAAGCTAATATTTGCAAATGTAAGATAAGCTCAATTTAAATTAGAAAAGGTTCATTTTTTATAAGCCAACGTTGTATCGAAAAAGAAGTGTTTTCCAAAGATATCGGAGGTTTAAAACAAGACAACTTGGTAACTGGTAATAATTTTTTTCTACAAAATTTATGAGGGTTCAATTTAAACAAACTGTGTAATCAGAGGGTGCATTTTTTGCTCTTACTATCCTTCTCACTCCTCACATATATAAATATACTTTAATGACGCAACGACGAAACGCAAGAGGGCATTGGAAAAAAAACCAATGCCTCCATGGAATTGTCCCTCGGCTGCAGTGCATGCGTTTAGAGCATCGAATGCTGTGTCTTTAGGCTATAGCTAACAGGCGAACGCACCACTCGGTCCTATGCGTTTCATCCCTGGTTACAGTCCACGCACGCGGAACATTGACTACCATGGGTGTGGACTGTAGCTCATACGTGAGCGTACCTTACGGTTTCACGAGTTCGTTTCCTGCACTGAGAGAAACCTAGCGCGTGATCCGTCCTTAAGGTGGCGCGGTTGAGCTGCCGCTTGTTTGGAACGCACGGGACACCAGACTAGCGCGTCAGCTGCACCACTAGACTGGCTTGAGCGTTGAGCTGTTAGGCTAGCGCAAGTACTGCATCATACAGTGTACCATACGTTAAGCATGAGAATAAAATCGTATCTGTATTTATTCGTCGATCAAAATGCGATAAGTTTAAACGCATTATGACTCAGAAAGCCACTTTGTTTCATTTTCCATTTTGAAAAACTTGTTCATTTTAATCAAAAATTTGAATTAAAATATTTTTTACAAATACTACCACTTTTATCATGAAAAAACAAATATTCCAGCATACGGTGACTAATAACAAAAATAAAATTTTTTCCTTATTATTGTAGCCAGTATACTGTTTAAACAAACTTCACTATATCTTAAATCCCC